GCTAAAGCTTTTGCTCAGTCCAAAAAGAAATACAACTTAGATTAAGAAGTAATCAGGCTTATGTTCAGTGTTGACCCAAACCCAGGCCCATATGGCTACTCCTATGCCTTCTTTAATGAGGCCTAATCAGCATCCGGCGGCTGGGCATCACTAACTTACGAAAGGACGTCTTAGAGTGAGTGTGAAGAATATTTTGAGCAAAGATCAAAATACTTTTGGATCGTTGTACCACTGATTTCCTATCCCTTACCAGATTTCTTCGCCTCCGTTTTCTAATCCAGTCTCTTTCTTCTTTCTATTCCAATTCTGATTTGAGCACAGCCAGTAAGTAGTTGGAGAATATTTTGCAGGCACAGGTACTCCAATTTCTTGATTTTTCTCATTTTTTTAGCGTGCTGTTTTCTTTACTTATTGTTTGATTCTTGCAAACAAAAGGCCCTATTGTTTGTTCTAAAAGTATTGACATGTTGTAGAATTTGTTGTTTGAAAAATAAAAAGGAAAAGGCAAGTTCTAGATGAAGGAAGGATACAAATGGGAGTCCAGGGCACTGAACAAGGAGTGTGAGAAGGGAGAACTTATTCACTTGCAGAAGCAGGGAACCACATTCAGAACATGGCTGTAGAAATGATGCATATTGACAGAAGTATCACTTCGGAGGAGCTTATTGTTGATGCACATGAGACTAGAGGAGAAGCATCACCAGCACCAGATATAGTGGGTCCAGCAATTGGAAGAGGTTGGGATGAGATCCGTAATTTGTTAATGGAGGATGATATAGAGAATGGGACTGGAGGAGTAGCGCAGCCTGGTGCAGGATCTAGCTCTTCTGGAGGATTACTGCAGGCTGTTGTAGGTGCTAGCTCTTCTGGAGGGCTTATGCACAACATCTGTGAGACCAGAGAAGATGCATTACCCACTTTCTCTTCAAAGCTTGTGGGAAAAGCATTTGAGGAGAATAACAATGTGATATTGTCCTGGTTAATGAATGATGAGGTCTCAAGTATTTGAATTTACGGAATGGGTGGAGTAGGCAAAATGACACTGATGAAACATATCTGCAATCAGATGCTAGAAAGATCTGACACTTCTCATCATGTTTACTGGATTACTGTGTTGAGAGATTTCAACAGTGATAGGTTGCAAAATCTTAGCTGTCAAATTGTCAAAAGAACTAAAGAAGAAACCAAAATGGGTTCTTATTTTAGATGATTTGTGGAACTCTTTTGAGCTATACAAGGTGGGAATTTCTGTCCCATTGAAAGGTTGCAAGCTGATTCTTACAACTTGAGATTTAAAAGTTTGTCGAAGGATGAGCTGCGTACACAAAATCAAAGTGCAAGTTCTATCTAAGAAAGAAGCTTGGACTTTGTTAATGGAGAAACTTACACATGATGTTATACTCTCTCCTGAAGTGGAACAAATTGCAAAATGTGTTGTGAGACAGTGAGCTGGTTTGCCTTTGGGAATTATAACAATGGCAGGAAGCATGAGGGGAGTGGATGATGACCTACATGAGTGGAGGAATACACTGGAGAAATTGAAACAATCAAAATGTAGAGCTGATTCTTACAACTCGAGATTTAAAAGTTTGTCGAAGGACGAGCTGCGTGCACAAAATCAAAGTGCAAGTTCTATCTAAGAAAGAAGCTTGGACTTTGTTGATGCAGAAACTTACACATGATGTTATAATCTCTCCTGAAGTGGAACAAATTGCAAAATGTGTTGAGAGATAGTGTGCTGGTTTGCCTTTGGGAATTATCACAACGGCAGGAGGAAGCACGAGGGGAGTGGATGACCTACATGAGTGGAGGAATACACTGGAGAAATTGAAACAATCAAAATGTAGAGACATGGAAGATGAGGTATAGCTATGATCGCTTAACTGATTTTGCACTACAACAATGTCTCTTATACTATGCATTATTTCCTGAAGATGATGAGATTCGTAGGGAGGACTTGATAGGTTATTTGATGCATGGGGGAATAATAGAAGGGATGAACAGCAGACAGGCAGAATCTGATGAGGGCCATACGATGCTTAATGAACTTGAAGTTTTCTGCTTATTGGAAAGTTGTATAGATGTTGTTGGTCAAGGAGCTGTCAAGATGCATAACTTGATTAGGGACATGGCCCACCAAATACTGCAAACGAAGTTTCCAGTCATGCTGGGCAATGAATTACCAGATGTGGATAAGTGGAAAGAGGGTCTGGTGAGAGTCTCCTTATGTGGGGTTATCTCAAGGAAATTCCTTATAATCATTCACTAAGGCGTCCAAGTCTTTCAACCTTGTTGTTACACTCTAACTACGGATTGAAATCTATTGTAGATTCTTTTTTCAAGCAATTGTATGGACTCAAGGTTCTTGATTTGTCTTATACTAAAATTGAAAAATTGCCAGATTTCATCTCTGATTTGGTGAGTCTCAATGCATTATTACTCAATAATTGTGAGGCATTATGGCATGCACCATCATTAAAAATGCTCACGACACTGAAGAGGATGAATCTCTCTTATACTGCACTTAAAAAGATGCCTCAAGGCTTGGAACGCGTATCCAACTTGAGGTATCTAAGACTGAATGGATGTGGTGAAAAGGAGTCTCCTAGTGGGATATTGCCTGGACTCCCTAACGTGCAAGTCTTAGTACTAGAAGAGGATAGCATGAGTAGAAGATATGGTCCAGTAACAGTTAAAAGAAAGGAAGTAGGTTGCTCGAGGAAGTTAGAAACAGGATTTGGGATTGCGATCGCACGGAGAGCTTGGTTTGGCTCCGCTCCACCACCATCTGCATCTGATGGCATATTTTCAAGTCTTAAAGGGTTTTATTGTTCTGGGTGTATAAAGATGAAGAAGCTCTTCCTGCCTGTCTTGTCTCTAAACCTTGTAAATTTGGAAAAGATTGAAGTTAGTTTTTTGTGAGGAAATGGAGGATATAATAGCAAGAGGAGATGAAGAAAGGGTTATGGGTGAAGAACTCAGTCTCCCTAAGTTATGAAAAGCATTTGTAATGCAAAATGCGATTCTCTCCAAGAAATTAAGGTAATAGCATGTCGGAAGCTAAAGAGGATGCCAATTTGTCTTCCGTTGCTTGACAATGGGCAGTTATCTCCTCCTCCTTCTCTTAAAAGAATCCTTATAGAACCAGAAGAATGATGGGAGACAGTAGTGGAGTGGGAGCATCCTAATGCTAAGGATGTCCTTTTTCCCCTTCTGCGTTTCTACCATCGCTGGTAAGAATGTTTTAATTCCTCTCTCTCTCTCTCTCTCTCATTTTGATGAATTACTCATTTTCATTTGTTACTATTTGTTTTCATTTGGATTTTTGCTGTGCTACTATCCAAATTTCAGATTTCTTGCATCCCTTTTGCACTCTCTCTCGCTCTCTCTCTCCTTCCTGTAATTTGTAATTTCTTCTTCCTGGGAATCATCTTTCTTAAGTTATATATCTGGTTTTTATCTTGATTCCCAACCCATGCATTTAGCTTTTAATTCTAATAGTTGAATTGGCTTTGTTGTTCGAATACACAAAACTTAAACTCCTGTTCGAAGTTATGGATCTTTTCATTGTAAACATAAAGGAAGACCAAGTGTTTAGTAGCTTTTGTAAGTACTGGACACCAAATGTTCGATGAAATGTCTAACACGAAATTGTTATTAACCCAGTTGTAGAACCATTGAATAATGCTTTTCAGTCTTAATAGATACAGAACTATTTGTTGTAGAAGCATTCAACAACTGGTAACCGGTAATCAATGTCTCTGTAAAATTTTAAGTTGACTATATATCATCTGAGGAGGAGATTTTCCTGTGCTTTGAAAATGCATTTAGCAATGGGTAATTTTATAGTAGGTAACTGAACTGAAGGCCATTTTGATGTGGGGATGTGATAGGATTAAGTGCTTGCTTTCGTCTATACTTTTTTCTTATAGATTTAACATTACTGACCAATATCAAGGGAAGCCCAAAATGAAGTGATGTAGTGTACTTGTATGTTCGAATTGCAATGTGCTGTGGTGATCCTATATTTTGTCCATTTTTTAAAACTGTTGCAATTACGCCCTCTTTTCTGCTACATGGATTGGGGCCCAAAACCATCCAAGAACAGCAAGATATTGGAAAATGCCACAATTCAAGAAGCTAATGTCATGTTTATCCTTCAAATCATGCAACAAAATGGATGGCTTTTTACCCTTGTAACTTAGTTTTAGAATTACCTTGTTGACATCTCCATTATTTAGTGGTAAGCCTTAATTTTCAGTCATTTTGATATTTTTTTTAGCTCCCCTTCAATTAAAAAAATTTCTTGGCTCTGCATTGTAGATCAGCCTTATTGTGCTTTGTTTCGATTACATTCATTTTTTTATGGTTTCCGTTTCCTTAATTGTGCAGGATATGCTCACATAATCAAATTTCACATGGTTTCTGCATTACGACGAATATTTGGCTGTCTTTTCTATTGTAATTCAAGTTAATTTGTGTTTGGTATCTATTCTTGTGGTCTTTCTTTTATATTCAAAGTCGTGAAATTCTATATTTGTTGGTCTATGTCCTAAACATGTACTTACGTTTGCATTTAGATTTGAATTGTTATACTAAAGTTGGTTCTCAGATTCATTGAATTGAATTTGTTCATTTATTAAAAATAAACATAAGCGCAAGCTCCGGCTGAAAAAGATCAGCGAATTTGGTGTTCATGAACTGGCCATGCTTACTGGAAGGAGTGAAGGGCAACTGTTCAATGAAATGCGTATCAAATTTGATGTAAGCCCTCTTCATCTTCATTCGTTCATTTCCTTTTTTTAAATGATCCAATATCTGTTTATTATTTTTTATTTCTCTCCTTTTTTCAGTGGGATAATGACTTTAAAACAGAACAGAGGATAAAGTGTTCCCGAACCCTGATACGAATATGGCAATGGAATTACTGAAATAATAGGCGACGAGTAATGTAAGGCAGAGTGATATATTGGATGAAGTACTTGAGTTAATCAGTGGAAATGTGGAATCGTAGCCATCCCAACCCAATGGACTTGTATGCATGGAGAAGCCTGAAGGCCAAGCTATGTGGCAAGCTTTTCAGTCAGGCTCTTCTTTTGATTGACACCGTAATGTGCATTTATCCTTCATGAACCATATATAGCTAATAATTTATCCTAGACAGTATACATACATCAAAAATCTTAAGTTGTTAGATGAGGTTCTAAAATATGATTTATATTATTCTCTAAGATATAACACTCATGCTATTGTTTATATAATTCAAAGAGGACCTCATTTTTTGGTTAGCATCTCCTTTTAACTTGATTAAGTGAGTGCCACATTGATGAGATGATCAAAAAAAATGTAAGTCCATTCCTTATTGTCATTTCAGCTCACTCTTCTTTTTTTTTCTTTTTTTTTTCCCATAGTGAAGAATTTTGGAGCTCTGTTTTGAAAATTATCAGAACTTTAAGTACATCATATTATGTAATTGTAAAAATGGTGTTGCAGATAGACAAAGAGACTATGGTGAATTTGCTGCATTGATGAGGAAGGCTAATGGAGTAATCTGGAGGGGAACCATGAGGACTTGCTACCAATGTATCTCAAGAATCTGTTTGATAAAACAAAAACAGGAAGCTCTTAGGCATGGTGCAAGATAAGAGCAAACATGCTAGCAAATCACGCAGCCATCTGATAGAGCAAGAAGACATAAAGAGTTGACAGCAGCTAACATAGGAAAAAAACTACTATGATCGTCCCATGGATAAGCATTACAGCCTTACGACCCACAGGCCTTTGATTGATTTGCTGACTTCCTACTGCTGGTTGATGCTTCTGTCCGTCTTTGATATTTCTTCATTAAAGTTCATACTCTCATTGTCCTGATTCTCCTATAAAATACATGCATTCTGTTTGAAAAGGCTTGCTACTCTACAATTTTCGTTGCTGAAGAACTTTGATGCCTTAAATTATGCATGGGACAGCGCTTCATGAGTTCTGTTTGTGTTTTTGTCTTACGAGTCTTATGCAGCATATGTTGACCTTTATATGGCATCATCAGACTGTCAGAGTCTCTAGAACCAGTCTTGCTTTCAGTTCTGTTAGCCATTCTCTCTCAGAAAATTCCCACTCTCTTGAAAAAATCTATATTGAGCAAAAAGAATGTTGGAGTCGGTGGAATGGGAGCATCCTAACACTAAGGATGTCCTTCTACCCTTTGTAACTTTTTTATAGGAGACTGCTTCTTAATATAATTTATACCCTGGATTGATTTTACTCTGTTTCAGCTTTGCCCTTAATTTGTTCTGCTGCAAATTTTGGTGTACCAATTGAATATTGTTATTATCCTCACAGCCAGCAGTTTGGAAGTAAGGTTGAGGGTTACTCATTATGCACTGATAATAAACGTTCTAACACAATACCAGTTCATTCATTTATCTCATGAATTTATAAATGGAGCATCGCATTGGATTGTGGAACAAAAACCATCAATATGCCTTTTTGAAAATTATATTGACATGCTGTCATTCAATTTTAACAAAAAAGAGTTTGAAATTATCAGGCTTTCCAGAATATGCACGGTTATCGGCTGGCAAACAAGGACATAGGCAGGTTCAAAGGACTACATTCTCCGTTCCTTTTGTACTGATACAATACGGGATTATCATGGGGCAGGATGATATTGTAAGGTATGAGTGATGAAAGAGTGTGGTGTTGCAGATTCTTGGACAAGACTAAACTGTATTCAGGAAGCTGGACATCCTCATTCTTTGCTCTTTGGATATGTAGGTGAAGTTTTTAAGTCGAAATGGGGCAGCAATATTCTTAAATGTGATCCTGAGACTGAACACCAACTTGAAGCCAACACCAGATTTTGCTGTCGGTAGTCGACGTAAGATTTCAACCAACAGTTCGCCTCTCTGATCTTCTAGTGGGGAAATCTTAATAGTATTTTTCAAAGCTAATGAAAATTCTTCTTCTGCTGATTCTTTTCTCTTTCGTTTTCCACGATACAGTGACGTCTTTTTTGCTCTTTCTTCCGTCCTTTAGGCTGTTGCCTTCTAGAATATTTAACAAGAATGCTGGCGGTAAATTATTTCTGAAACAAGTTGTTTTGTCTCTGCCAATTCATGCGAGACTTTCAGTTTGTATTTTATATAGATTCTGTTATACAAGATATACTACAATTGTTATGGATAATATTCAATACTACAATTGTTATACAAGATATTCTCCTCCTTCACTCGACCAAACAACCTCTCCATAAGGAGGCAAAGCTTCATCAGTTTCAACAAAACCAGCCCAAGGACTTCCATCGGAAGTGGTGAAGAAGATGGAGAAGATCAAATCTTTCAGTGTTAATAATTTACTTATCTTTCATTTATTTATTTTGGTAATAATAGGGCCAAAGGCCGAACAACCCATCAAACTAAAACATTCAAGTTCTAGGCAAGCGGCACCAGCAAAGTGAAACCCTCCTTAAGGATTGGTGAAGTATCTAATTTCCTGGAGAAATTAAAAGTGCTCTTGATGTATGGGCACATTTAAGACTTTAGACTTCTAAAAAGAAAAGAGCTCTATATGTTAAAGCCAATGGAATCCTCTTCTAAACACGATCACAAAATCCTTGATCATCTCAAATTTCTTGAGGGAAGAGGACAACCAGAAACAAAAAAGCTTAGCTATATATACATAAATAAATTAATCAAGAAATGGTGCAGTAATTTCCTTTCAGTTTTTATAATTCCGAAGGAGAGATTGGAATTCGAAACATCAACAATGTCCTCTGAAGATGAAATGTTGAGTAGAATGTGGTTGAACGAGTTGAACGAGTATAGAGCCAACATGCTGAAGGAGTATAGAAAAATGCTGAAGAAAGCTATGATGGCCAGGCTATTACGATTACGATCATTGAAGGAGGTGACAATTGATGTTGACCACCATGATGAATCTTTTGTACTGATACAATACGGGATAATTATGGGGCAGGATGATATTGTAAGGTATGAGTGATGAAAGAGTATGGTGTCGCAGATTCTTGGACAAGACTAAACTGTATTCAGGAAACTGGACATCCTTATTCCTTGCTCTTTGGTTATGAAGGTGAAGTTTTTATGTCAAAATGGGGCAGCCATAGTCTTAAATGTGATCCTGAGACTGAACAACATGAAGATTTGGATATAAAGAATCCAATAAGTTTAGATCCTTGCGAAGAAAGTTTAGTTTTACTGGAGGAATGCATATTGCTTGCTCAGGAGGATGATTCATGATTAATGAAGACTGGATTTGCTCTTTGTTTACTAAACCGAGTAAAGAAATAGACAGCAAGTAGGCAACAACCTTTCAATCCTCTCTGCTTTTCAACTTCATTCTGTTTGTTTTTCCTCAAGGGGAATGAGATGATCAGAAATTAGCTAAAGACGGGCATTTTCTGGGAGCATCGAAACTGGTGTAGGCCACCAAGGGAGCACAGTTGTGAAGACCTCTCTGTTATGAGTCCAACTCCTTGGATACAAAGACATACCGGACCACTTTCAAATTTCCTCTTTCAATCTTGAATGTGATGATGTTCTTATGATAAAAATTACATGACTGCAAGTACACGACACCGTTGTTATCTGGGTGGAAAGCTATATTGGTGCAAATCTAATTGGATCTGGCATGAATGAACTATAACGATCCATAGAAGTGGCAATGCTGAAGAAAATCCTATTTTTCAAGCTCAAACTTCTAGTTTCAGAGTACTTGAGCTTCCAAACACTTAGTTAATCAGAAGCATCTCCTCTATTAGTATACAACTTCATGACCTGCAAAAGGCCTTGGCACAAAGCCCAACCCTGCGACGGCCATAGTAAGTTTCGCCTTGACAATCAAATAGATCCATGAAAAATGTTTCATTATTAAAGGGATCATAAGCAACAACATCACGGCCACTGTGCCAATGCAACTTCCCATAATGTGCAACCATATTGCTGGACACATAGTATTCATCGTCTAGTTGAGGGGATTTATTCCATTGTCCATTCTCCGAACATATATACATATATGTATATCCCTCAAAAGGTAGCAACTTCTAATGTACACGACTCTGAATCGACATTCATTTATTCCTTGAACCTATCTTTGATAATGTGGCTCATAAACTAGCCGAAGTTGTTGTCTCCTCTAAAATGGCTTATATTAGGTCGAGGGAGGAAAAGCCACTTCATTGTAAAGGGTTACAGATATAGTAAATGGTCGCTCAACCTTCTTTCCTTGCCCTACAGAACATTAAATCATTGCAAGTTGTCTCAACAGAAACAAATTCCCTTTCCTTCGGTAGGAATTCTAAGGTGAATCCAGGGCGCTCAATTATTGGATCTTTATCGCTATAAAAAAAAAAAAAAAGTATAGGGCTATCAGATTTTTTAGGCAAAGCTTCATCAGCTTCAATAAAACCAGCCCAAGGACCTCCATCGGAAGTGGTGAAGAAGATGAAGAAGATCAAATCTTTCAGTGTTAACTAGCATATATCTTACGCGTTGCTGCGTGGTGAGCTATACAGTATTTTTATATGTTCATTCATATAAAATTTAAAATTTAAAAATAATTATTTAAAAGAATCACACGAAAAAATTTTTTTAAAAAAAAACCAAAACATATATCTTATATTTTACTGTAGGTTAGCTTAATTAAAAAAAGTCTGTAAAGTTATGTAATATAATGTAAAGTCAAGATCATAAAAGAATGGTCAAAATATATAAATAAAAACTCACTAAAAAAAAAAACTTATAAACCATAAGACTAAAAAAAAAATTTATTATGTATAAGGCATGAACAAAAGTAAAAAATGATAGAATTTGAATTTTACTAAAGCTGAAAATGTTTTTTACAAAGCAAAAAACAAAAAAAAATAGTGAAACTCGTATTTAATTTTAGTGTAGAAAGAATAATAATCAAATATAATAAAAATTTAATGGTCAAAATAAAAGAAAGATCATAAAATAAAAACTAAAACATAACAAAAAGTTTTATTAAAAGAAAAAAATATTTCCTTGTAGGGAAAAAATCAAATATAATAAAAATTTAATGATCAAAATAAAAAACAATTACAAACATGGACTAAAACAAAAATAAAATTCTGCTAAATTTAATGGCCAAAACAAAGAAAAAATCACAAAATAAAAATTATAATAGGAAAAAAGTTTTTTTTTAAAAAAAGCTTAGGATAGTGAAATTTTATTTAGTTTTAGTATAGTAAGGATAAAAATCAAACATGATGAAACTTTAATGATTAAAATAAAAACATATCACAAAATTGGAACATAAAAAGAACATAAATTCTTACTCAAAGCCAAGAAAAAAATATTTATTATGGGAACAAAAATCAAATATAATAAAATTTTAATATTTATTATGGGAACAAAAATCAAATATAATAAAATTTTAATGATCAAAATAAAAAACAGTTACAAAATAGGAACTAAAATAAAAATAGAATTCATCGAAAGCAAAAGAGGGAATGCGACAAAAAAAAAAATGTGATCAAAATAAAAAATATTACAAAATAGGGATTAAAATGAAAATAAAATTTATTAAAAGCTAAAAGAGGGAATGCAGCAAAGAAAAAAAAAATTACAAAATAGGAACTAAAATGAAAATAAAGCCAAAAGAGAGAATGCAGAAAGAAAGAAAGAAAGAAAGAGAAAAAAAAAAAAACAGTCAATCTACAGTAAAAATGCTACACTTCTACGTTTTGTTTTAGTATATCTTGTAATAATTTACTCTTTATCTTTCATTTATTTATGTTGGTAATAACAGGGCCAGAGGCCGAACAACCCATCAAACTAAAACATTCATGTTCTAGGTAAGCGGCACCAGCAAAGTGAAACCCACCTTAAGGATTGGTGAAGTGTCTAATTTCCTGAAGAAGTTAAAAGTGCTCTTGATGTATGGATACATATAAGACTTTAGACTTCTAAAAAGAAAAGAGCTCTGTATGTTAAAGCCAATGGAATCCTCTTCTAAATGCGATCACAAAATCCTTGATTATCTCAAATTTCTTGAGGGAAGAGGACAACCAGAAACAAAAAAGCTTAGCTATATATACATATATAAATTAATCAAGAAATGGTGCAGTAATTTCCTTTCAGTTTTTAAAATTCCGAAGAAGAGATTGGAATTCGAAACATCAACAATGTCCTCTGAAGATGAAATGTTGCGTAGAATGTGGTTGAACGAGTATAGAGCCAACATGCTGAAGGAGTATAGAAAAATGCTGAAGGAAGCTATGATGGCCAGGCTATTACGATTACGATCATTGAAGGAGGTGACAATTGATGTTGACGACCATGATGAATCTTTATGTTCCATTTGCACAGAAAACATGGAAATTGGAACTGTGGCTGTTAGCTTGCCTTGCTCTCATAAATTCCATAAGACTTGAATCACTGAGTGGCTTGAGAGGAAGTTGACATGCCTTGTGTCGCTCTCATATCAAATACATTTAATTATTTTTATTTTTATTTTTTTTCTAATTTTTTTTTTTTTTTTACTATCCTTAATCATATTAATAATGAAGAATCATTATTTATATCTATTATTAACTTTAATTAGTTGTGTCTCCTTTGCGTTATTTTTAATGCTTGTTTCTGCTATGCTTACGAAGTTTTTTAAATAGAATTGCCTAATAGCAAACCAATGTCTTTTGAGCCTGCTTAGCTGAATCTGTCTGCGAATCTCTGTTTTCTGCTCCAAAACCAACGTCTTTTAAAGCTGTCCAGTCAAAATGAAATAGGGGAGAAATGAGTAATTCCAAAACCGAAAACTATATTTGTTATCTTTTCTCTACGTGTGATTACTTCACATTGATTCTTTAAACAAGATCTAAACCAGAAATAATTCAATAACACGAAGAACGCGCTTCAGGGACTCTCTCCTTGTTGCTAGATTTGGCGAACATTATGAGAGAAAGGAAATGGAAAGTTGATAGCAGTATTTGGAGATGGATAAAATAAATAATTAACAATAACAGTGCTTTTTTATAAACCAATTTTCAAGCACTTTGGTTGAAATTAATTTAGTCAACGAAAAACTACCATGAAGAAAATGATCATGGAAAATGGGGGTAGCATCATAATTGAAAGGTTAGGAAGTAGAAACCACCCCCATCCCTAACATGGCAAATATGATGTAGATAGAGAGGTACAGAAGCGAAGTAATAAATTATCCATTCAAACTTTATACAATACATGTCCTACACAAAAAAAGTTACATTACTCGTAAAACTACAGCTATGAAGCATCAAAATTAGCTGCCTAAGTCTATACAGCATCTTCACAAACTCAGAGAATGAGCAAACACCAATCACCATCGATCCCATTTGTTTATGAAGTCGTTCCACATTTCTGCCATTATCGATTCTCGTAATGCAAAAGCCTTGGGATCCTGTATGGAGGAAGCCAACTGTATATCAGAGTCATCATCGATATCTGCCAATTCTTCCACTGACATTCCCTCGACATTAGCAAACAACCAATCATCTTTCCCTTCGCGCTTGATGTAATTATGCAACACGCATGCAGCAATAACTATGTCTCTTTGGACATGAAATCCGTATTGAGGGGCAACTTTGAGAATAGGAAATCGTGTTTTCAGCACATCAAAAGACTTCTGGATGGCGTTTCTAAGAGAAGAATGTCGGTGATTAAATAGTTCCTGTGGATTTCTAGGCAGCTGATTGGCACCTCTAAATTTGTGAAGGTGATAGCGAACTCCTGGATATGGAGCAATAAATCCTTCCAGATTTGAGTATCCTGTGTCAACTAGGTAGTATTTTCCTGTCACATAACGAAGTGGCCAGAGGGTAAGTAAGCCAGGAAAATAGATGGAGAAAATAGAAGTTCCATGTTTGGAATTGCGGGGCTGTGAGTTCGCACATGCAATTACATAAACATGCTAGGAAGGCATTACTACTGTGTAAATGTACAGACAACTGCAAGTTGCGTGTGTGTGTGAGAGAGAGAGAGTGAGGGAGAACCTTCAGGTATGCTGGGGAAATTCTGGTCTGGATCATCAAGGACTGCTCTTAGCACCCGAGAATCTGCAGCAGAGCCTTCCCAACCCGGATAAATAAATATAAACCGCAAGTCAAATGTGCAAGCGGCCAAAACATTTTGTGATAAAACACCTTTCTTGTTACGAAATCGAGATTGATCCTTGGCTGGTAGATGTGCAGGAACATGCATGCCATCTATGACACCGATACAATCCTGAACGAAAGAAGTAAGTAAGTGGCATCACATAATGCATCGCAAAAGATTGAGAATAGTTTTGCAGAGATAAACCTTAAAATAAGGATAAAATCTATTAGTAGACAGAATTTCTGGAGGAGTGGCGATAGGTGCTGGTTGTAGGAATTCACGTGAAAGTGACTTGATTCCCCTCAACACATTATTGAAATGCCGGCTTATGGTTTCACCTGAATGCTGAAACCTTTCTTGGATGACTCTGTTACGCTCATTATGGCCAATAATGTTCAAGAAAATTGCCAGCTGCTCCTCTATCATAACACCAGCAGTATCACGAAGCATGCCTCTCTGTCTAAGAATGCCACATAGATTCTGGAAAACATGTTTATCCATTCGAAACATTTCCCGGCATAAATCATCAGGGCCGTCCAGCACTTCAGACATAAAGCTACTTCCATTAGGCGAAGAACTATGTCGAGGCTGCCTAGTTATACTGTTATAATAGTAATAGCCAGCGGCAGCAGCAACTAATTCCATCTTGTCCAATTCTAAGTCAAAGCCTTCCATGGTAGCTGAAGTATCTGTAGAAATTGGATTAAAATACAAACCATACAGCACAACGCAAGAGATTAAAAATATAGATAAAGAAAACTAATTTCTCTTGATTGTATTTCTAGTTCACTTATTGACCTTCAAAGACAAGCAAGCATCCCTATAGACCAGGTGATGTGATCAAATTAACCAAACAACGGAAAGTCACAGTGCTCTCTATCACTTAAGATCGTTAAACTAACAAAACAGCCATTAATCATGAAGTCAAACTAGTTACAGCTGTATGAGGTTTCTTGAGAATCCTTTGTTCATACACAGAATAACCATAATTTGTAACTAAGAAAAATACACGACTAAAAGGGTCAACCAAAACTAATTCAACTAGGGGTAGCACTACATTTTCCCTGCAACCATGGCAACCTTTTCTCACTCTTTAGAGAGATAAATATCTCCCTGGCATTGGGATTCTCAAATAAATCCAAGGCAAGAAAGTAAATCCGTTGATCAACACCTTGCATCTCATCCAATACTTTAATGCATTTGCTTATAGAAAACCGATCCTCATTCTTCATAATAGCAGCCGCCCTCATTTTGGAAGCAGAAGCAATTTCCAGCATAGCATCCACAATGGCATCACCAGTCGCCTTACGACTCCTCTTCCCACGACCAGAACCTCCTGGCGTGACAGATTGACGCTTGTTGTGTCCATCCAGCATGTTGACATCATCACCAGAGCCCGATGAACCATCCTCATCAACATAAGCCATAAGTGCACTAGGATGAACAAACATCCCTTTTAATTCTCAATACACATATAATCAACAATTGCTCAAATTGAATAAAACCACAAAATAAACTGCAATACATGATCATACTAAACAATTGCTCAAAATGCCCTCAGCAAATCCAGAAAAAAATATAAGAAATCTTAGAAAATGATTTGCTAACCCAGCTTCAACAAACTGAAAAGTAACTAAACAATGCAAAGTACAAAACGGGATCATCCTTTTTTCTCATTTTTTATTCTATTTCACTAGTTTCATCCAATCAAACAATTATATTTGATCAAAACTTGGAGAGAAAAACAAAACCCACCATGATTTTCCGGTTTCTGTTACTGGGTCAATGTACAAAATGCTTACTTTCTACTCTTTTTCTTAGTAACCAAACAATTCAGAGAAAGTTCAGAAAAAAAAAAAAAGAAGAAAAAACAGAATATTTCAGTCAGAGAAACATGAATTGACGAATTAAACAAAAAAAAAAAATGGAAAGCAAAGAACTCACCTTTGCAGTAAATATGAGCTTGTTTATGCTTTTGATAAGAGAATCAGAAGGTGAAAAGCAATCTCAAGGGTTTAAAAAAATAAATAAATAAAAATAAAAACCTATTTTTAAATGGCGAAAAGCACCCAGAAGATATATAAAAGCAGGCTATGCTTCTAGGCCTGTTATGCTTTGAGAAAGCCCAAACCTTTCTATAAAGGGTAAATATTTTGTTAGCCCAAGTTTGTGTTTTTCCTACATAATTTGTGAAACAAATAATTCGGAAATATATTTGATAAAAAAAAATCATTCAAAAAAATTTAAATCTTAATTAAATAAAAATTATGAATTAAATTTATAAATATTTTTTTATTTAATTCAAAATTTATTTTCAACTGAATATACTGATAATATTTAAGAGTGTTACTAGCAATCATAAACTATAAACTATTTATATAAAAAGTATATATTCATTAAAAAACAAAACTTAGAAATTTGTATTTAATTACAGTTGTTCATTTTTTCTTTTCACAATCTAGGGCTCTAACATTTTTTAAAAGGCATTTCAATTTTTATTTGAGTCAAAACCTATTAAAAAAAAAAAAGGGAGAAACACCTAAAAGATCACCAACAAATGATCAATTAAAAATGTTGGATATACTTAATTCAAAATTTCCTCAATTTTTATTGTATTATTTTATATTTACAGGTAGTAGAGTATTCTCGAATGAGATTTTGCATCAACCAAGACTAATTTTTTATTTTTTTAGACTAGATGAGGGTAGGATAATATCTAATTTTTAATTGATTTTAAAGACCAATTTTTTTGAGTGCATAATATAAGTTTTGAGTGATATATATAATTCCTTTTTTTAAATAATGTTAAGCATTTTTGGAGTACAATCCCCTTTGTCAGGTGTTTTAGGTCACATATAAAAGGTGAAAATACTGCTAATCAGGCATCTTTAATGAGTTGAAAAGGGTAGCTGTGAATATTCAATTAAAAACAGAAAAGTAGATCTCAGTGTATGAATCTGTGAGCTATGCACCAAGGAAAAGTACCAATAAAAAAACAAATGAGAATGTAAAGGGGAAAAAAAAAAACACAATTGGAGAATATAATATGGCTAATTGCAGATCAAATGTACCTGTCTATACATCAATTTTGGTCATCAAAGTCGAACAACCAAAAATTTTACAGACTATATATCCTCTAAATTTAGGATTTGGACAAAATTCCCAATAAAGCCATCCTAACTGAAACCAAGTGTCTATACAAATCCCTCACTCCTTCCTCTAAAATCCCAACCTCATCCTCTAATTTCTCACACCTTCTATTCAACTCCTCAACAATCTCTCTTTGCCTTTTAGCTCCAATATGATTCTGCCTCCTTAATTCCCACGTCAATGCCATTGTCTCTTGCAGTTCTGAGAGCATCGTTGAGCTCCATTTTCCATCTTTCTGCTCACTTTCTTTCTTCACTTGATTTTGTAACTCTTTCAAAGAACATGACCAAGAAGTCATCGTTGGCTGAGATTGTGTTGCTAAGCTGCAGCCCTTTGATGACATAGATGATAGAGCTAGTCCAAGAATCTGACATACCATTAATGCTACTGCCTTGGACCCATTCAAGATCTCACCAAATTCTCCCAAGTCATGGTTTTTGGTGGAACCATCTGGGGCTAGCTTTTTTCGACTCGATAATTTCCTGAAGCTGCTCCAACCTGATGATCTACACCTGTAATTTTTCATTTCTTTGCTTAGTCTTCGTTCCATAACATCACTTGTCTGTTCTAACATGTTTCTTGCACGAGCTAAAGTAATGGGACTGGGCTCAAATTTGCCTTCTTGAAGCAAATGTGACACTACCTTCAGTGACTTTACATATTCTTGAACAGCTTCTATTTTCTCCAACACTTCGTTACATGAATCAAGCAATTTGATGTTACCATCATCAAGATATTCTTCAATGGATTTTCGATTTGAATCTTGTTGATACAAGGCAGCAACATTGTTGGCATTTGTGAGCGACTCTAGGGCTATCTTTTGGGTGTTGATTGATGCATTAAGTGCATGACATAGCCAATGGTGATGAAAAATAACATCAGGGGATAGAAGGGTATCTAACTCTGCCGTGGCTTGTCGATCAAATGGGGCTATGATAGGCAATGGAGCGATGGCCGGAGAAGCCGATAGCCTCACCGGAATCCGAAATGAGAGGGTTCTAAGGATTGATGATGGTTTCATGTTTGTTGATCTTTCAATTTTCAGGCTTGTGGTGCTGGAGAGTGGGTGGTGTGTGCCCTCTTTATATATATTGCTCGTTATTTGCATGCATAGTTACACATGTCAAAAAAGTTACCATATAGCATTATATTTTTGACAAAAAAATCAGTGATTGGCGTCCGTTTTTAGGTAGTAGCGAAAGGTGGTGGGTCCACTCTTGGTAAATTGTACCCTAGATTCTTTATGCTCTCCCGGAACGTGCATATAAATATATAAATGATTGTCCAGACGTTATGTTATTTTATATATAAGGTAGACAATAATAATAAAATGAAAGTGATAGGTAACGTGATTGTCAAATTTATTTGCAGAAGAGATGCAACATCAAATGTTTTCGATCGTTCTTAGTGACCTTAATTTGCACATCGAAATATCTTCTTTTGTTGATTTTAAACCAATTATTTATATCCTAAATTATATATTTATAAAAAGATTTCTATATTTTTGTAAATAAATGTATCGAATTATTTTTATATAGTATACTAAAATTATATTTATTTTTAAATTTTTAATTGCATTTCATCATTTTTTGAAAATGTTTATGTCTTTTTGATCAATTTTTTTGAATAGATAATTTTTTTTGATAAAATACTCTTACCTAAAACAATTATTAAAAAAAATTTAAAATAAAAGATATAGATAGTGTGAATTTAGATTTTTTTTTTTTTTTTTTTGCATTTCGGTAAAGGAAATTTTCATTAAAAAATTTGTTCAATATCGAAAATTTTAATTGAAAGAAATAGATTAAACATTTAAAAAAAATAAAAAAACAAATGAGATACAATTTAAAACATAAAAATAAATAAAAAAATTTAGATATTATATAAGGATTAATTAATTAATTAATTAATTTTTTTTTTTACATTTAAATCTCAAGGATAAAATTAATTAGAAATTCAAATATCATTAAACCAGGCCTTCAAAGTTAGACAGTGAAGAAGGCGTTCGTATTCTAATTATGGGCTGTCTTGGATATTGTGGTACACCAAGCATTTTCGAAAAAAAAAGGCCCCCATTGAATATAATGAGTTATAATGATGTGCAATCATTGGAGTCATTATCCGGCTAAATTCAAAAAATGGTATAATATTTTATGAATTTGAGCAAAATAAAACATTCTTTTACGTTGATTTTGTTTTTCAAACAATATTATTTTTTGAATTTGTATCTTTCATTATGGTTTTATTAAAAAAATTAACGAAAATATTTATAAAAAAATCTCTCAATTCTTATCATTTTCTCTACATATTTATTAAGAAAGAATAAAAAGAATTGAGAGGATTTTTAAAGGATTTTTCATCTATTTTTCAATAAAATCTTAAAATAATTGACAAATTCAAAAATTTATTTAAGGAACAAAATAAAATAAAAATTAATTCAGAAAATACTTATTTTTCGCTCAAAATTCAAGGAATATTTTAATATTTAGCTGGCATTAAAGGGCTCATCATTGAGTGAAGTGAATAAAAAAAAAAAAGTGAAGAAGAATGATGGGATTGTAACAAACATTTGACTAAACAATGCAATAAAATAGAAAGTCAGACACGTAAGGGTACATTTGTGTTGATTTGGTGAAGCCACTATGCCCTACATTTAGGAATGTCTAGGATAAAATTAAACGAAGAGATGGAAGGTGGGTGAGTTTGAGAAAAGGTGGATATTCTATATATAAAAAAAAAAAAAAAAATTAAAAAAAAAACAGCATTGGAAATGAAAAGGAAAGATCTTCGAAAGATTTAGCCGTTTGTTGTATCCCAATGGAAGCAAAATGCAGGAAGGTGGCAGCTAGCTCAGCTTACCTTGCTTCGACATGGTTTCCTTCCACATGGCATGCACCAATGCATACATTTGCTTATGCTGCCTCCCTGTTTGCCACGTTAAAGATCCATCTGTTTGATAAAATATTTTTTGGGAGATCCTTGCTTTTCATAAAAAAAACATGTTGACGAGCATAATGGAGAGTTTGATGGGCAAAATACCTTAGATGGAAACTTAGATTTTCATAAAAAATAAAAGAAATATATATGATAAATCCAAAAAATTGATTTGATAAAAAAAAATTCTAATCGTTTAACTAAATAGTGTTGAGTTTGTGTTTTTGTATAAATTAAAATTTTTTTAGATAATTGTGCTTGCATCATGCGTCCGATAAAATAGCAATAAATTAATCTGAATTTTTATGATTAAGATATTATGGGAATTGAAAAAAAAAAATTGGTAAAGGTCGTAAGATGTAAATCATAGAATGAGAAGATAATGCATAATTAGGGTTACATTAATTCCCCCAACGGTACATCAAAATGTACATAATTATTATATTGGGAGGTACTGATGCATGCATGTATGCAAATTGGAGTAATTAATTAATTAGCCGACTCATTAAAAGACATTTTGATATACATTTCTAGATTTGTTAATTGATTCTATTCAAATAATATATATATATATATATATATATCATAAAAATCATCCATCCTCTTGACTGAGGTCATGATCTTTCAAAGCCAATTGTCTTCCCAACAAACTTTCAAACCACCACCAAGCATTGCCTTACCTACTCATACTGGGATTATCAACAGGCATGGTTTAATGCCCCCTTTTACAAAACAAAAGAGGAAGCCACTCCTAGCTCTTATATTTTGATACAAAAATTGAGACCTCAAAAATTCCTATGTGGTTCCTCCAATGGTGGAATTATTTTGGCTCCATTCCAAAAATACTTATCCCGAGTGTTTCGAAAGCTACAAACTCCTCCAAACAAATTACAAAGCCTCGGAAAAGAAAAACGTTTTCCCCTCTTTTCCTTTTCTATGCAAATTTTTTTTTACCATAGGTTTGTTCTTGGTATTATGATGTCAAATATTAGGATACTACCTTAATGTTAACCGGGAGATTCAAAGTCAAATTGTGGGATGCTTTCAATATTCCTTCATCACCGTCAAAAGTCTCAATGGAACAATGGCTCACAAAACAGGGCTCGCTCAAACCAAACTTGACCACTTCAAGCTTCCTAGCCCAAAGATCCTTTACTACGGCCAAGTTAACATCGGTAAAAACCGAAGAAGAATACTTTGCAATCATGTCACAATTACCGCAAAGTAGGTCGAATCCTCCCAAGCAGCAGATTCGAATCGGATTCGAACCCGCCATAAACCCGGTGACCACAATGAAGATGACTGCTTTGGAATATTCTCTCATGTACACCACTTATAAGTTACAGGAACAAAATTCCTTTCGACATCTTACTCGTTCACACACGTGAAGACACCGTTCAAGACAGACTTTCTCTTCTATATAAAAAAGCTCATTTCTCTTTTTTAGGCAGAGTATTTTTTAAGGCCATTACCGAAAACATCTTTTTTCTCTCGTAACTTTGTTCTCTTGTAATCCCTTAGAAATATTCAAAACAAAACATCAACAAGGAAATCAAAAAAATTTCTATGTATCCAAAACTCGTAAGTTATTTTATCAATAAATAAAATTGCATATCTTATATTTTTTTCTTTATCCCGATTCTATGGTATATCGACTGGAAACCAATAACAAAACCTTTGGGGACTCGTCCTATCGGGTGGTTTAACATTTGGTGTAACAATGCCACGTACCTACAATCTGTTTTAATTTCTTGTTCTATACCTGCTTATTAATGGTCGGCTTTGCCGCCTATTTTGAACCTCGCAATTTAGTGGTCGGCTCTGTCGCCTAATTCTATTTTTCCTATTTTCAATTGTTTATTTCAATTCATTTAATTTCATATTTGCATCATTCATTTATATTCTAGGGCATAGATGGTATCGAGCTTAGTGTTTGTGGGGGTTGTATGTTTATCGTTTATGTTGTTCATGTTTTGACTCGCTCGAGAGTTAGGGGTATAGACAATCGAGTCGGTGTGGTTGTTGTAAGTCCTTAAGGTTAGGTTGTAAATCAAAGATATCACCTTCATAACCTACGTATCCTATGCTCCAAGCTATAGTCTAGTCATGGACTCTATATTATGTAGATCTATCTCCTTTATAAACTTTTCTCGCCTCGAATCTTCTAAATCTAGGAAGATAATAAATAGTGTAGAATATGTAATTAAAGATTTTAAAAAATAAATTGATGATTAGGCAATACTCAAGATTCACAAAGATGAGATTTACAAAACTTTTAAATATAATCTTTTCAAAATCGATTTTCCTATCAAAATCGAGGAGAGGGATATTCAACTTTTGAAACCCTTTGAAACAATTCACCTCCTCTCTTTAAAAACTCTTCAAAAACACAGAGACAAAAACTTTAAATACATTCATATAGGTTTATTTCAAGTGAGGATTAAACCACTTACAAAAGAAGAATTGAACACCTCAATCCCGACAGATTCTTAGAGATAATAGGTTTACCAATTTTTAGGATTCTCTCGCTTAGCTCTATAGAATCCAGACTTATGTAGTGGACCTATATCTTTTGATTGCTATCCAAATTTTATAATCTCTTTGAATGATAAAAGCATTCCGGAGTCTTTGGTACTTCAAATTAAAACCCATAATTATAATATGATGAAAGGATCAATCCCGATTGCATTGATCACAAAAATTCATTATAAGGCCATGAACTCGTCTTTGCCTCAAAACATAAAAGACAATCGACCAAGGGAGAAACCCTTCTCCTACAAACAGACTTGACTAAGTTTAATACTCGTCATCCCTAGACCCATTAGGTGGAAAGATATAGTCCTACTCGACGAATGGATCTTAAAAGGCATAAACAAACCCGAATCTTTACCAATTTCGGAGATTCCGAAGCCAAATACCCAAATCGGATCTATAGCACAACAACTAGATGGGAGTGTTAGACTCTTATTTGACAAAAAATTTATCGGTAGTAGATTTTCTAATGTTACCTCAAGTTCTAAAACTTTTGACTTAGGAAGATTTTCTAATATTCCTTATGTCATTAACCTTCCAAACACTAGGAGAGAT